AATAATTCAATCAAATCAAACTGTTTCAAATTTCTTTTCCAAATTTGAAAAATATATACTCTTTGTATTTATTGTCCAATCAAAAGGGGGCATCCACCCACATAAATTTAAAATTAAAACCATCTGGAACTTCTTTAGATGATATATAAGGAGACAGGTCAGTAGATAACTTCATCCCAGATATCAACAACAACATAGTAATCGTGAGTTTTTTGTGAATTTAAAATAATGAATTGTGAATGCTTGCAATTCAAGAATTCATTTTGGAGCCATATCCAAGCAGTTTTCAGTACCTAAGTCAGTTGTAGTACATGTTATAGAAAAATATTATGAGACAAAAATCATTTCCCCTCTTTCTGAAATGAACCATATGCCAAAACTCTTTCTGAGATTACAAAGATTGTTTATGAATGCAAGAAGAACCTTAAAGTTATGCTGAAAGATGTTGTTTATGATTTGTCAAACAATAGAATAAATGTGTCACATTGTACAGTAATCACGGTGCTCAATAAACATATCCTTAGTAATTAGCATCCAAGAAAAACACCTTTCTGTTCAAAAGTCACCACCACAAAGCTTGATTTGCATGTGCCTACTTGGAAATAGATAATAATTTTTGGAAGTAGGTTTTATAGAGTGAATTGAATTGTTTGATCAGAATCAGGCACATGATGTGTGAAGTAAAAGAGAAGACATGATTCCTAAGAATTACCATCTCTGGTGCAACACATGGATGTGTTATACTTTGGGGATGTTTTACAGAAAATCAAACAGACCATTTGTTCAAAATCATTGGAACCATGAAAAAAAAGTGCCATGATATTTTAAAGAAAAATCTGAAAGAATCCATTAAGTACCTTTTTGGAAGATAATGTTTCACTTTCCAACATAATGATCCTAAACAGTGCAATGATGGAAAAATGGCTCAAAAACAAGATGAATATCTTACTAATGCAGGTGTCCCCCAGGGTTCTATCCTTGGATTTACTTTGTTTTTAATTTTCATCAATGATTTTCCTGATGGTATCAGTTTTCAACTTGGTATCTATATTGACATTTACTCCTGTCTTGATAGTCTGATCAGTTTTATAAGGTCAAATTGGCAGCTGATCTAAAAAATAGCCTACAGTCTATTGTTAACTGAGGCAAGGAATGGCATGTTAATTTTAATGCCTCCAAAATGAAACTTCTGTCTTAATCATCTGAGAGATCTTTCTACTCTCCATTGACATGGCTGATGCTGGCCTCTAAGAGAGTGAGACATTGCACCTTCTCGGGCTAACATTCTTGGCTGACATGAAGTGGAAAACTATAGTGAATACCTTGCTAGGTCTGATGCTAAGAAAGTTGAATCACTGTGTTGTGCTAGACAATCTTTCTCTCCATCTATCTTACATATCTGTAAGTCTACCATTCATCCATGCTTTGAAGTTTTCTGTCACATCTGGCCTGGTGCTTCTGCTATATATTTAGAGATTCTTGATAAAATCCAAAGAAGCTGCAATATTATTGGTCCTGACCTGGCATCTCGGCTTCAGTCACTTTTCTATCTAGCTTCCCTATTCTTTTCTATAAATATTTTCATGGTAATTGTTCTGATGACTTTTCCTCTTTGGTACTTAGACTTTGTGAATTTAAGCACAGTACTAGATTGGCAGCAAGGTTTCATCAATTTACCGTTGAAATAGCTGCTAGATGTAACCATAAGTTCAATGCTAAAAGTTTCATTTCTTGCACTTGTTTGTAGAACTCTCTTTTGGCTTCTTGCTTTCAAGTTAACTTTGATCTTCAAAAGTTTAAATGCAATTGTCAGTTGTTCTTCTTTTATTATTGTTCTCTCTCCTTAATGTTTTTCTTCTTATATTCTCTCAAACTTAATACCCCACCTTGCATATTAGTGACTTTATTGCCTTGCTTGAGGCGATATGATTAAAAAAATGTTTCGGTATTTAAAAAATGTATATTATTTTAAATGAAATTGATTGTACCATATGGATAATTTTACACCTCACTATATAATATATAGCAATCCCTCTTTTATACAAATTTCATTAAAGACAACTGACAAAGTACTGCTTTTTATTTAATTTTTCTTTGTGTTTTTTTCTTTTCTGGACATAAAGTGTGTAAGAATTGTTTGAATGCTTTGTATGTCTGAGCACTTTCAGCTGTTCTTTTACCCATTATCAAAGATGTTTTCTTTATTTTTAATTTTAACTGAATGTTAAAAAAACATACATTCAGTCAATTTTTACACACTTTATGTCCAGAAAAGAAAAATTGATATGAACACAAGATAATGAATAATAATAATAAATAAGATAAAAAAAACTTCTCAGCCATCTTTAATGAAATTAGTATATATATACAGGGGTCATTAAAACATTAAAAGATAAGATACCAATAACTAATTCATCATTTCTCTCGGACAAATCTTAATTGTTTTATGACCCTTTGCGCAGAAATCTTCACTTCTAGTTCAAGAAAGAAATTCGGATTTCTAACACAAAAAAAGAGAAGGTCTCATATCGAGAATATTTAACATCGAAAAACATAAAGGAGAAAAAATAATTATCTTTAATAATATGTGAAAATCGCCACCCTTTACCTGATGACAGTTGCGAGACCAGAAACATATGTAGTAAAATTATGGAAAATAAAGCATAATATTTTTTTTTTAAAAATTCACATTACAACCAAAAACGTTTGCGGTATCTCTCTTCTTTTTAATATACACACTTTTCTCTCATTGGAATTACTGTAACCTCTTCCTTTTTTTTATATATATATATATATATATATATATATACGTATGTATATATATTTATATATATATATATATATATATATATATATATATATATATACGTATGTATATTGGAATTACTGTAACCTCTTCCTTTTTTATTGGAATTACTGTAACCTCTTCCTTTTATATATATATATATATATATATATATAATGTACACAGAGAGAAAAATGTGTGTGATTGTAACCTCTCATCTATATCAAAAGAAAAATAGAAATTGTTCATTTTTTTTTTTTTTTTTTTTTTTTTTATAAATGAATCAGAGACAAGATATTAAGCCAAATATCTTTTTGGACATAATCATCATTATTAGCCTGGATTACTTCAGGTTACAATATCAAATGTTGTTATGGTTATAAAAATGTCAAGATATTATCATTTTTAACACAGTTGTTCCAAAATAAGAGGCTTTTGGCTCCCAGAGGAGCAATTTTAGCTTGGGCAGGAATTAGACAAAACGTCAGCCAAATCATAAGTACAGGGTGCAATGAGTAAATTGTCGCTATTTTATATTTTAAATTTTGCATATGTGCATTGTTTCTTTTTAATTTCAGAGTGTTTGGGTGTCAATTTGTGAACAGTGCAGAAGATTTGGAAAGAGTTGGATGAGTCTAATGTTGATTATGTAGGTGTGTGGAGTGATCACTAGTGATGACATTATGCCTACATTCATCTTCCCACAGGCCCTGTGACTCAATACAGAGGCCTACATCAAGTGTCTTGAGGAGGTAGTGCTGCTCTGGGTCAAGAGGTTGGCTACTGGAAGACCCTATGTCTGGCAACAGGACTTTGCACCATGCCACACAAGCAGGAGAATCCATCATGGCTATCAGACAATTTCAATAATCACATTACCCCTTACATCTGGCCACCTAACTCTCCAGACTGCAACCACATTGATTATTATGTTTGATACAGTTGAGTGAGAGCCCAACAAAACTCCTTGTAACAAAAGATGAACTGCAGGGAAGGATTATGGCAGCATTCACCATCTTAAACAAGGAGACCAACCAAAAGAATTGCAGGAGATTCCAAAATCTTCTCCCCAGACTGAAACCCTCTTGATTATTATGTTTGGGGAACAGTTGAGCAAGTGACCAGCAAAACTCCTTGTAATACCAAAGATGAACTGAAGGCAAGGATTATGACAGCATTCACCAATTTAAACAAGGAGACCAGTCAGAAGAATTACAGGAGATTCCAAAGTCATCTGGAGGTTCTGGTTGAAGCCAATAGCAATTTTATTGAATAAATTTGCTCTTTAGTATTTCAAGATATTTTTGTATACTTTTGGTAAATATATCTGTTAAAATGAGATGATGGTGTTATTTTCATTTTTGTGTAATTTAGACGATAATTTATCCATCGCACTCTGTATAATAGTGACAAAAAATGACTTGATGACAATCTCATATTTGGGAGGAATTGAGAAAACCTAAAATTACAAAGAAGAAATGTGACTTGGATATCTGGAAAACACTATACTAAAGTTACATTATTTACACTATTCAGACTATTATCCTCATCTTTGTTGCCATATTCACAATGTTTCATCCATTGTACACTTCAGCCTTGTTTAAGTGATTGGAATTTTGAACCAAACTCTTTATTTTGTCCACCAGGGTAGATTGTTCTAGTTCCACATGTAAAGGGTTTAGTTCGAAATTCTAATCACCTGAAGTGGTGCATACGGCAGAAACATTGTGAATATGGCAATGAAGATGAGGATAACAGTCCGAATAGTGTAAATAATGTAAGTAATCATAATACTTCATCTCATAGATATAGGCAAATAATGTTACTTTAATTCTAAAGTTTTAGTGAAGGTATGAACCAAAATTCCCTTGTGCTCTATCTAAATACCAGTTCATAAAAAATTTAAGATGATCAAATATTTAAAGGGACAAATTGCTAATACATTTAATACCTGTACATATTTTTTGATTTGGTTTTTTTTTCTGGATATAGAAAGCATCTAAATGCTATGAAATGTCTCAAAAAGGTATTTTCCAATTGTACTATGGAATCCAAATGATCCATCTTTCCAGAAAATTACCAAATGCAGACATTTTTTTTTTCTCATCACTAAAAAACCAGCAACGTTTTATTTTCTTGGAGAAATAATACTTTTTTTTTCAAATCTTACCTTCTGCATGATTTTTTAAATGTTTCTTGTTTTATGCCATGCAGAATGTCAAGCTCTCCATCCAGGGAACCAGAGGAAGTTCAGCTTGAACTGCAACCATCAGGTGATGGAACCACCACGCATGCCAAACGTAAATACCATTATCCTTATTTGTCGGTGGTTAGTGTTTGATTTGTGGTTGTCATGTTGGTACTATAAATGTTGTTTATGTCCCTATCATGATGTCCCTATCATGTGATTCTATTTATAGTATCCAATCAAATTTCTTACATTGCTTTTATTTTATTTTTGTCTTGTAGTTTAAGTTTTGTCTTTGAGCATTTTCTGGTTCTTTCACTATTGTCCCATAGATACAAAAATAAATGCTATTGGTCAGGGGATAATATTGCATCAATTATATTGATTTTTGTCAAAAATATTGAACCAAATAAGAGTTTCAGGGTAAAATAAAATAAACTTTGTGTTGAACATATTGTGCAATACATTTACAACTGAAAAACTTCAACATTATAATTGTCTATAGTAATGCTTGTTGAGTCATGCTGTCAAAAAATCACAGCAATATTTAAGCAATTTTTGCAATTGTATTTATAAAATATATAAAAAATATTAGTTGTCATACATTTTTGTTTATGTTCAATATTCAGTACTTTATGAACACTGAATGAAAAAGCATAATAGTTTATTCACCATTGAGTAATTATAGTTTTATTTATCAAATCTGACATAACATAAAATTCTATTTCTATTACATCTTTCACCTGATAAGTCCACCATATAAAGATTGAAATTACCATCTCTGTGTAGTGGACTCTTCTGAAGCATAGAAAACTGTTACAGACATGTATATGTTATACATTATTTTATTATGTTATTATTTATTTTCATTGTAACTATTCAAACCATCCAACAGTAAACAGGATGGACAGGAAATGATTTCATTTAAAAATCCTGGAGAAGTTATGCAAATAAATTTAATTCTTTCTCAAAATCCAAAAAAGTTCACATTATTAAAATTATAAAACTGTAAGTTTGTATTTTGAAGATGAAAGATTATCCCCTGTCTCCATATTCTCTACTCATTCAAAGCAATTTTCTTTTTCAGGGCAGGTGGGGTTTTGAGAAGTTACAGATTCTTTAACATCTGTTTTTTTTTTTTTTGGGGGATAGACCATTAACAAAATTTGCTCTGCTTAGTAGGCTCATACCTCTTTGGAGTCCTCTCTCTTGCAGTCACTGACTGAAAAGCTCCCTCTGTAGAAGATGGTGGTCAGTTAGGTTGTAGACCCCTGCGGTTTTTACAGTATTCACCAGATATTATATCTTCAAGTTACACTTAATTCTAGACTTTAGAGAATTTTCTTGTTGAAAAAATATTTGATTCCCTGGAAAACTACAAAAGACTCCAAGAGCAGTTATTTGCTGAGAAATTTCCAGGAGGGTGGAATTATGAAGTTATTTGATAGACAAAACAGAAAATATGTTGTTAAAGCAAATTTCTGTTGAAAGCATAAAAAACGGCTTGTCTTATAATGATACAGAAAGTAAAACTAAACCTTGAATTTTGTTTCCTTTTGATAGATTTGGAATATTTTAAAAGCTGATAATCAGTAAAACTGAATGATGCAAATCCATAGAAAAAAATCAAGAACAAATCCACTTCCAAAAGTTATTGAACCCAAACCAAAGAAAAAGAAATGAGAAAAATGAATTATAGGCCAATTATAAATCTATAAATTACCAGAAATAATCTTTCTTTATATTTTTGTTCAATAAATACAGTACTTGATATTTACTAAGCCAAATAGAGGAAAGGCAAATAGGAAGACTGCGTTATGCCAATTTTCTAAGTCAGAAAAACCTGCTTGCCTGCCTAGAAAACCTACCACCACATCATCAACAACAGACAAGATCATAGTCCACAACCTTGTGACTCAGTTAATTGCGAACTCCATAATCTTTTCCATTAGCTGTACAGTGTATATATATATATATATATATATTAGCTTTGTCAGAGTTGCATACTGTTTTGAATTCAGAATAATCCTTCTCAGAGGCTGGCTAAAGAGCCCAGTTTACTCTGCTATTTAGCCCATAGCTGTGGGGAGAAGAGATAGATTCATACCTTTCCCAATGGTATTTGTGCCTTGGACGTTGACAACTAAGATGATCCATTATCTTATACCGGTGCTTTCCCTTAATCTGTATCTTCTCATTATCACTCTTATTATCACTTCTAATTTCATTACCCATCCATGTTTTGATCTAAATGTTATACAAACATTGCATTGTAACATTGCATGCTGATCTCATAAAAAATGAACTCAATCATTACCAAGAGTTAAAGAAGTGTTACAATGTTTCAAAATTGGATGAGTCTAGTAATCTTTCTACACATTTCAATCATCCTCCATTTTCTGTTGTTGTTAGCCAAAAATGTATACCAAAATTTATTTTCAGCTTTCTCAGAAGACAGAATTCTTTGTTTAATTGATTTTGAATTTTCTTTTGACCTTTTGCATGGATGTTAATTTTTGTTTTTCTTTTCTTTTTATTAGTTGTCATTGCTGCTTCTTATTTTACAACTATGCAAACTTTTTTTAAGATTTGTAAACAGAATTTTTTAATCATTGTGATTAATAAGATTATTAAAGAAACTACTTGATCCAAACATTTGACTTCACAACATTTCAGTTATTATTTCTCTGATTCTCCTCAGGAGGAAATTTTTGTTTTCTCAGAGAAAGTTTTTTAAGTCAATAAAAAATGTACATGCAGAATACTAAGAAAGTTGTCATATTTTTTCATTTAACATTAATTACTGTTCTGATAAAAGCAAAAATGTTCTTGCTTCTTAACTGTAAGATTTAAGGCAAAGTAATGACATAACCAATCACTTATATTGTAGACAAAGTTTCAATATTATAAAATAGTTTAATTGGCACTGATTTGGTATATTTTATAATCTTTTCTTTTTTTTTTGTGGCTGACCATTACATTAATTGCTCTATAGAATCACTTGAAGATCAAGTCCACTTAAATTATTAATTACCAAATAAATTATTAATTGTGAATTTTAAATTATTTAAAAAATAAATATGCATTCCAACTCATTAATTCTAGAACTTTTTATTTTTAATGATATTCTCATTTTTTTTTTGTTGTTGTTGTTGATTAGCCATCATCAGGTGAATGTTATATCTTGTAATATTAATAGCTAGTTGCTTATTTTTGATTATTCTTCTATGTTAGGATGGTTACCTAATCCCTTTTGCAAAACTCTACTTAGGAACATTTTTCTTCCTTCAATACCCATAGTCAAATTATGATTTATACTACAACTATGCTTTAGTTACAGTTCTGAGAGTGAGCTTAATCTAGTGTTATCAGTAGTAGAACAATACCAGTAGACTTGAACTGTCAGGCACAATGCCTTGTGACTTTGAGCTAGCACAATCATTCAGGACTTCTCAATTTCACTCACTAAGGCTTGGGTCAACTCATGGTTTAGTTTTCAAGCACTTCCCAATGTTGTCACGTCCTGGGATTGTCAGCCCATGCTGATATTATCAAGAAGTCACTTGAAACACAAGATTTTACAGACATACATGTTTCACCCACATATTTTAAGTCACAGTTGTTGCATGAGATTTGGTAGATGCAAGCATCAGATGTAATATGTTGTTTGCTGGTGTTATTTAATAAACTATGGATGTAGGTCTGTAAAATCTCGTGTTTTCGAACATAAACGAGATATTCGCCTCACAAATTTAAACAATGCTTTAGTTGTACACACAACTGAAGCTGATCATAATTTCGATTTTGATTCTGTGAAGAGACATTAAACATTAAAACAGCATAATCATCGCATATTAGGATTTTTGTTTGTTTTTTCAGTATATTTTTCTTCATAGTGTCGGATTTATATCCATATATTTGCTTACACATACACACATATATATGTATGTGTATATATATATATATATATATATATATATATATATATATATATATATATATATATATAATAGGTTCAAACACTAATATTCCATGGTTATAATTTATTACATTGGAATCGTAATCACAATCCAATTCATCAGACCTACAAATTCAAAAAAGAAATCAGAAAATATAACTCGGGTATAAAAAACAAAATTTTAATGAGAGTGTATGTGGGGAGTGGGAAAACAAGTGTCAGAGGGAAATGTGTGAAAGCTCTAGAGAGAGGTGTAACATATATAAATCAGTATCACCTCATATATATATATATATATATATATATATATATATATATATATATATATATATAATCAGTATCACCTCATGCAAGGCAAAGGTACTAAGACACAAGGGGTTACAGGGTGTGGAAGAATTAGGAACAGAAACATTAATAATGAACAGGAAAAGGAAGGAATAATCAGGAGGACAGTAGATAGCAATTGACATTGAATTTAAATTTTTGCAAATTAAAGTTGGCTGGAAATCATGGAGCCACAAGCAAGATGTGTGAGAAAAGAATATGTTAGCATAGAATTTGATGTAATGGAATAACCTGGCACCCACATGAGTGACAACATTATAGGTAGTAACTACCTATAAGTATCTGTAAGGCAGCAGACTATGAGGAGACTTTCCGGGATCTGTTGAATACGACTCCGACTTACTCAAGAACTATTCAACCTTCCAAAAAGCAGCACTCACTGCTGGTTTTACAATAACCTTTATTTAGTTATCCACCATGTTGTTCCAATGATATTCCTATTAGTACGGAATATAACAGAATTTATGGTGATCTAGCCAGTTCAACTATAAATTGATGAGATCTTGTGATATATTTGGAGAATTTCAGCAGTTCATTTGAATTGAACATAGTACAGATTTGGAAAAACTGTTGGTATCACAGTGTACATGCCCAAGGGGTCACTTCTGAAGGAAACATTGGAGAAAAGTAGAGTAAGTCATTTATGGTCAAATTCCTTGAACCTCTTTGTTAGCATTTTGTATGAAAATCTATTTCGTGGTAGCTGCCTTCCAATTTTCATTGTTAGTTCCATTCATTTGTTGTAATTGAGAAATTCATTTCTTAGGTTAAATAGTTATTTACCTTGTAATGTTGGTATATCAATGATG